CGAGATTGACGTCGTCGATGATAACGTTCATCAGGAAAAAGGTACGACCAGGAGTAGGGAAAGCGAAGTAATGAGCTCGGAGACAAAGGGCAGGGGGGGTAGCGAGCATGAAAGAGAGCACGCCGGAAGAGGCCAAAGGTAAGTCCGGCAAGAAGGTGGGTACGAGGTTGGGGACACGCGGACACAGGCAATAAGTGTTGTTGAGAAGCACGATGACCAAAAGACCACTAGTCAGCGCTGACTAGTGGTCTAGTGGTCATCGTGCTTCTCAACAGCTCACTGCTTGTGTTTCGACATATTGCGAAGTTCGTACTCACATCCGTACGTAATTTACCTGAAGAGTCTTCCTGCGAGCGCGGCGGGGCCGGTGAGTGCAACCCACACATTGACATGACAATCGTCACCATGCCGGTCACCCAGCTCGTGTGCGTCTACGCGCAGACACTGCTCGTTTTCATTCACCACCGCCGACATTACTTCGAGGTGCGCGACGTCTGCCATTCGAAGCATGTGAGGCATGCCCCATATCCCGTATGAACCTTGCACGTACGTGACCCCGGACAACTCGGGTGAGGTCGCCACGTTGTTCAGCATCCCAGCCGCCACCTTGGCATCGTCGTGTATTGAACGGAATAAACCTGCAGGCGAACATGCGCACAGCAAAACGATTGGGAATTTCAAAGCTTCGAAGTTTTTCATCGTTCGCAGCAGGTCAATATCATGCATGCTACCGGAAGCACGCGCCCCTGACATTTGTTTGTGGACTTCGGACGCCTACAATACAACCCAAAATGTTGGCCTCGCGTAGACGGGACGCGCTGCTCTGTGTGGCAGTGCCTGATCTCACTCACCTTGGGCGCTTTCTGCGATCCTAAACCTTCTTACGAGTTCGGGATACGGATTGGCCGGCAGCTCCTCGCGCTGGAAAAGCTCGTCGAAGAAGCCTTGTATCAAGCTTGATATGCCCTTCTCCTGAGCAAAGCAGCAGCATTACGCGATCATCGTTCGTTGTGGGCACGTTGTGGTGATCTGATGTTATGAGTACTGCTGTACGCACCGCATGTTTCCCATGAACAGACAAGGACACCTGTGTGCTTTTGTCACTCCACTACAGCAGTGCAAGTCTGGAGTCTGGAGATAACGATGATTCAAGCTACGGCTGTGTACGTGTACATGTCTGAATGGGGTACTCTGTCCTGTAGCTTACAGACTCGTAGGCAACAGACCGGCATATCTATCTTCGCAGGAGAAAAAAGGATCGCAGAAATGGCACACACTCACCTCGACGTATGCTTTATCGCGAACGGCAACGTCCTCCCGTAGAGAAGAACTTTCCTCCTCCTCATCCTCGTAGCGTGCTGTAGTCGAAGCCATGCAGGAGTGGCCGTGCCCTGACCTATGCATAGCAAGAAGCAAACACCGGGACGGACCCAGGCTGAGACGCTGAGACGCAGGATGCACGGCGGGACTGTGGCTTAGTCTCTCGGGGTTGGCGCACGCCACTGGGCACACATTCTATACAAACCGTGTGAACAGTCAACTCAGCAACTCAACGCTCAGCAGCACCAGCTTCGCCACTCTCACGAGCCCGTGGCTCGCTCCCGTCCTGTCCAACCAGCCAGATCATCAGTACCATGACCTCAGCTGCTCCGCAGACCGCGTTGCTCACGCAAGCGGAACCCGATCATTTGGAGGTACCAGCATCAGCATCAGAAGCGGCGTCAGCAGCAGCAGCAGCAGCAGCAGCAGCAGCACCGAATGACCCGCTCCTTGACGCTCGGCGTGCTGCTGCTGCACACGAACACAGCACCGCCGTCTACAAGATCGTGCTGACTGGAGGACCGTGCGCAGGCAAGACGACGGCGGCCACTAGGTTGAGGGATACCTTTCGAGCTAAGGGGTGAGGCTCCGTGTACCGCAGCGATTCGTTCGCGGGAACATGAATGCGGCTGCAGGCTATAGCAGCACTGTCAGTGACACAAGATACCACACCCCCTGAGCCGATTTCAAAGCTCGCCTACATACACAGAGTACAATCCACGGCGAAGAGGACGCCAGAATCAAACGATTCGTGTGCGGAAAGATCTCGACGAGGTGGTTCAACAGCCGTCATTCTCGTCACCGTCATTGTTTTGGCTGCCGAGTACAAGTCAAGCTTTGAAAATCGTTCCAAGGGGGTGTGGTGTCATTTGTCATCTGTGGTGATTGCTTGCTGGAAGGCCGTCTGTATTGTAGCTCAAGGGTGTGTGCCATTGTTCGGCTGTGCTAGAATATTTGCTGTGTAGTCCGGAACTCAACTGGATTGTGTAGATAGTCTCGTTTACTGCAGTTGCGGCAGCAGCATACACTAGACACAAGCAGTTTAGTTGCCACTTATGGTCAAGCAAACGATTTGTTTTTGTGCCTGCACTCGCCTGTCCAGCTGGTGGACAGCTACAGCAGTAGCCATGCTTTGTTTCTGCAGTTGCATGCCGATGTTCATCTCTGCGGCTTCCGCCTTAGTCATTTGTAATTGTTTGTGTTTGTCTTAACATATACAATCCGTTCCCCGACCTCTGCTGTCAGTACCGTCCAACATCCGAAGTTGAGCCGTTGGGCATGCTGATAGATAATCTGTGGGTTCTTCGGCTGCGGCACAGTCTAGAGGTCTGGACATTTTGTGCGGTATGATACCCCTGAAGTCATTAAATTTAATAGGGCAACAACACGCTGCACTCTCATCAAGAACAACGTTTCACGCAGGAGGCATCACGGAACCGCAAACCAGCAGTCGTGCTGTCCCACGATCTGTTTGTGCCCACCTCACAGCCGCTGCACTTTACAACTTTACCAGCATCGCAGGTTACTCACGAGCAAATCAAATGGAACTCCCGCAACTAACGAGACTTTAACCGTGGTTATACCGTACCGCAGGTTCCGTGTCTTCACGGTTCCGGAAGCTGCCACGTCCATGTTCACCAACGGCGTGGGCTTTCAAGACCTAGGAGAGAAAGCAAAACGGTTCGCGTTCCAATGGAGCATACTTTCGTGAGTGTCATCTAATGCGCCTACTTCTGTGTTCCAAATCGGGGACTGAGAATAGTCGTTCATGACCAACAATAAATGGGTCACTCATGTCGCAGACAGAGCCTTGTCAGCCGAACGATGATATACGCTCAACCTTGGCTTTGTGATTGCTACGGTACCGAAACCCCAGCCGTGCCCACAAACTATTGGCTAAGTTCTCGTGGAGCAGTCAGCGTTCCGTGCTGTGCGATGAATGCCTTCGGCTGCGGCGGACATTTCGGGGTCGTGTGCATGCAGGCTGCAGATGAATCTCGAGGATGGGTTCGAGCGGTTCGCTAGGGCGTGCGGAGAGCCTTCGATCCTGCTGTGTGACCGAGGACTGATGGACGGATCGGTTTACATGCCGCCTGAGGAGTGGGATTCGCTGGTGAGTGAGCCGTTTCCCGCCGCGTACAAAACACGCTGTGCTGCTGCCTGTCGGTGCGCTGCTACCAGGCCGTGACATCGGTTAGTCGACATCAAGATTAAGTTTTAACTGGTAGTACTAATAACGATACAAGTCTACCCGTGCTCTTGGGTCGTTAAATTTTGCATGTAGGACGCCGGCATGGACCTGCTCCTAAAATCGTGGTCGCAATCCGGCTCTCTGTTCATTACAGATCTCTGTGGTACATTTTGACCTCCATCAAAACGTATTGCAAGAATATATCTACTCTTAGGCAAAAGACACATCTTCCCGAACAAAATTCAGGTATTGTTGACAATATCATGCAACATCTTTGTCACTTTCACTCATGCTTATTAGCTTATTACCCGTCACGCATTGTTGCACGCCGAGTAGGCCTGCATGCGCACAGCGGAGTGCCAGCATGACAGAATAGAACAGGTCAGAACAGACATCTCCGGCCGGCGCTTTCGTCCCTCATTCATCTCACCGGAGACTGAGCGCCGAATCGTTTCCTGCAGATGGACATGTTCCTGTCGTATTCTTGTCGATGCCATATGCCAGGTGTTTCACACCCTAGCTCTTAGCTCTTATCTCACAAGTCGTGACTTCCGTAGGTCACGCACGACACAACATTCAAAGAAACGGCAAGGAACATCAACATGCTCATGTACCAAACACTTGCACACAAATTCTTGAAACTTTGGGTCGGGGCACGTACGCACGTGGTAACGGGATAACACAGGTGGAAGGTAACGGCATGGACGAGCGATCCCTCCGAGACGGTCGTTACGACGGCATCTTCCACCTGGTAACCGCGGCTTGCGGGGCGGAAGAGCACTACTCCCTGGAGAACAACCAAGCTAGAAGCGAGTCCGTGGAGATGGCAAGGGATGTGAGTAACTACGCGTCGGGCGCGCCCTTTGTTGTGAGCGTTTACTGTACACTCTTCGGTCGTCTGATACTTGCTTGGCATGAGGGAAATCGACGATACATAGACGGGTCAAGATGCAGATGTGCTACCTGTACCCGATTCTGTCGTCGTGGGTCTTTGGGAGATAGTTAAACTGTACCTCTTCTCGAAGGAGGGCGGATTCACCAATGAGAACGGGTCGGCGCGGCATTTCCTCTTTTATTACATGAGTGCGCCTAAATAACACCCCTTCGCGTTCCCCATCGGATAATCCCTTTGGCTTGATGTGTCTTGGCTTGGCGTGTTGGCGTTAAGGTCGACGGCAGGACCGAGGGCGTTTGGCTGGGACACCCCCGGCATGTGGTGTTCGATAACTCCACCGACTTCGAGGCGAAGATGTCGAGAATCACGTCCGCCGCGTCGAGGCTTGTCGGCCTCCCTTGTCGTCCCAGAAAGCTCTGCAAGTTCCTCCTGTTCGAACCACCACCGCCGTTGGAGGAGTTTCCGGTACCCGTGAGAGAGTTTCACGCGGAGAAGGTACATAAGCGAGGAGATTGAGAGATGAAAAGATTTCAGCACGAAACCGTTTCGCGTTTCTTGTCTGGCCCTCGGTTTCTGTAAGTCTACGGTGAAGGCATTCCACACGATAGGTAATAATAGTATCTTCCTCCTGCTGTCGGAGCGCGTCTGTAACTGATAATGACAACCCCGCTCGCTTCTCGGTTGGTGCTGTGAATCTTCGGGCTGCAAAAGGACGGGGGCAGAGAGCCAGATTACGACCCAGGCGTCCACCGCATGCGAACTGCCCGTTGCAGGAAAACATGTGGTGTACAATAGCACAATAGCTCTGCCCAAGAACAGGGATGGTCCCGCGCGAGCGCCCGCGCCCTAAGCAGGTCTTTCGTGTTTATCGCCATGCATATTTGTGTCTGTGTGAGCAGCGGAAGTTGCTGCCACGTGGATCGACCGATCATATGTTGTTGCTTCCGGTCTCTCTTCTCTGCTACGCATGTCTGCCGAGGGAAGGTCTTTCTCGTCAAGCGAGATACGGCGGAAGCGGGGGAGAGCGGCCTCATGACCGTCCCAGCCGAAACCTCGGGAGGGGACGCAGACGGAGAAGGAGATGCTAATGTTGATGTCCCCGCTGCCGTGTGCGTCTCGAGCGAGTCTTTCCTCGAGAAGAGGGGCAAGACCAGTAAGTGCCTTGTGTTCTGGTGCCTTCGTTCCCTCAACTAACCCCCTGAAGCAGCACAGCACTGCCTATTGCCTATATTGCACCCAATTGGTTCGTCCGGCCAGCTCCATCCTGCCCTTGCCTGGGTTGACAAAAGCTGGGGACGGCTGTAGAGCATCATCCCTCGCGTGGTTGGCAATTAGGTGTGTTTGTGAAATGGAGAAATGCTCCAAGTATCTGGTTTGTCTTGGATCCTGATGATCAGTGCAACTCTCCCTGCGTTGGCCGCATCACCCACCGTCAAGTTGGCTCACACGCCAAACCAATCGAAGACTCGCACCCCGTGTTCGTGAAGCGGGAGCGTTTTCGCTTTCTACTGCCGCCTGCTGCTCTCACCACCCCCACCTGATTGTGCTCGTGTGCCAGATGCCGGGCGTCTACTACGCAACAACGTTGGCCCTTGCTTACCTCCGATGTTTGCGACTTCATAAGTATGCAGGGACATACCAGTCTTAATCCGCTTGTCCCTAAAGCAAAGTCCCACAGTCTGGACGTCCTGTTTTCTTACAACCATCTATCTCGGCGTGCCCTCCAATGGTTGCGCGGACGTGCCCACCCCGGCAGAATCAGAGGTGTTCGTGTACTCTATAACGACGATCTCCACCTTCTCCGATGGCACGGTTACGGAGGTGACCAGGCACTTGTCAGCTGCGCGGCACGCGTCGATCGAGAAGGAGAGGGCAGATCCGGCGAGACCTAAGGTGGTACAGCGCAGGGTATCTTTCTTGTGGGAGAGACAGGTCTTCGAGCTGCACACGGACATGGAGCCGACGTTCGGGATCAACGTGCTTCATCGACGGTCTGAAGTGAGTGGGAATGGCGATGTTTCGGGACTCGGTCAAGCCAGCTGGTTATCTGCCTGTTTTGGCCAATGTTCACGGTTCGCAGTGTAGCGCTACGGTCACTCTCTCTCATCTTCTTTGCCGGAGTTTTATACGAGCTTGGGCAAACGAGGGCGTGGTGTGTAGGCTATTACCTATGTAGCACAATAGACTCAAACGCTTCGACGAGTTCTTGTGCCCGCAGCCCCAATGATTCCGTCATCCGATGCTCTTGAATACGTCAATCTTTCTTCCAGGGCGGCGAGCTGTCTTTGCCGACATTCCTCAAGGTAGACGATTGACATCTACATCTTGACCAAGATATCCTATCCGGACCAAAAGGGGTTTGCCCCTCGCTCATGCCGGGCATCCATGACCACGGCGAAGGCTTTGGCAAATATTAATGTTTGTCGCCTTCGCGGTTTTATATTTACCGATCTCGCAACGGTGGGTGGGTCGTGTTGGCTTGTCTATTTTGGTGGAGGGCAAAGGAACAAAGCAATCGCGGAGCCGCAAGGGATGCGCCACGTTCGGGTTTGAGAAGGGGGTTTATTGGGTGTTGGCGGGTTCCGGACGGGAAATGCGAAAAGATGGGGCGAGAATAGGAGGAACATCCAATCATAGTCAGCCTTCCTAGGTCTAGTTCATGAATCGAAGAGCCTGAAGGACAGAGCATGCGGGCGTCCTGTGTTGTTAATGAAACGCCCGAAGTGCTTCGCGTCGACGGAGGACATGCATCAATCCCTTGGCAAGTTGTCATTGCCGCCGCCGCGCGAGGCACCACCGATAAGAATCAGTGTGTTCTTTCTCTTTCGCATCGTTCCTGTTGAGACTCTTGACCGACCGCACCGCCCCGACCAGAGTGCCACAAAGCTCGTCATCGCACCACTTGCGGCATGGCATGAATACAGTCCCAAGTGGGGCACACATGGGCCCTTAGTTCAATAGCGTATTTCGGTTTCTGATTGCTTCGGTGTCCAAGCGAAGATCAAGTAAATAATCGGGGGCTCACACATATAAACAACCTCATTCGCTCATGGCAGACTTGGGGCGAGAACCACATCAAGGACAAGCGCAATCTCGCTGGGAGTCAGATATGATCAATCCGCCCCGTGCCATCCGCCGAACCCTCTCCCGGCCTACACAGCACCACTCCTTTTCTGCGGTTGTTTGGCCGCATCCTGTTCATCCTGTTGGGCCTAGACTACACCTCTACACGGGTATTGAATGAAATGTCAAAACCATAAAAAATCATGGTTTCGCAAGGATTTGGGGGCTTCTTTCTTCTTCTCTCCCAACGTCCTCTACATCCAAATACCCCTCCCTTCCTCTACAATGCCTCGTCCTCTAGGAAGCTGTAATCGAATCGGAAGTCGGATTTGATGCGCTGGCACCATCCCGTCTCGTAGTCGAAGTAGACGTACGTGCCCTGCTCGTAGTCGTCGGTGGTGACCTTGGGCTCCTCGTGGCGCTGCAACAAGAGAGAGAGTCGAGTCCGGCAGCGAGAATATATATACAGGTCACGTCGGGCGGCCGAGGGGAAAAACACCACTTGGGTACAATACAGGAGCGATCGACAAAAAAATACACCAACAATACATATACTATACCAGTGCATGGGGCCTTGGTGACGGGGGTTGTTGAGACAGTGGTGTGTTCCTGCTGCTGTTTAGTTTAGCGCGAATGATGCATAATGCTGGATACTTCTCTAATCCGCCTTGTCGACGTGTTTAGGAAAAACAGTCAAAAGCGAAATTCAAACTGAGCCAAAGCTTGACACCACCTACAACCCATTGCAAGCAGTACCCGAGTACACCGACAGCGCCAACACAACCAACGACAACACCGCCAAGCCTCAGTCACCTGGAACCACGTCATATACTTCTTGTGGTAACGCCACGACTGCCGCTTCAACTCCCGCGCGGCGAGGTATTGTTGGTAGCTCCCTTGCTGATAATAGAAGATGAGGAACAGGGTGTCCGTGTTGAGCTTCTCGAACATTTGCGGCTTCTCGAAGGCTGCGGCCGGTTGGCTCGGGAAGGCTGTCGGAGTGCGGTAGGGGTTCCGCGGGACGTAACTGCGAGAAATGCAGGGGGGGGGGGGGGGGTAGTACGCACGAGCCAGAGGAGAGTAAGCCAGAAGAAGGTCTCAGTACAATGAGACAAGAGAGATATGAGGCACACATGCTGTGTGAATGGATGGACGCACAGACGAATTTGGGCATATTCAACGAGCGCGAACGAATCTCCGAAACAAAACATAGCCACACGGAAAACCGTTGCTGGATAAAGGTTAGGTCTACATCAAGATGCCCAAGACATGAATAACACCACATGTATCACATTACAATCAGGCCATGGTCAGATAGACTATTTACACATGAATCCGACACTTGCTTGCCCCCAAACGCCTGCCTGAATGAGAGTACTGCTGACTGGGAACAAGGACTGACCAGACTCTTCAGAAAAAACTACTGTACAGCAGCAGGGCTCCAAACGTTGGCCCGCCGATGCCCTGTCCCCTATTGAATGATAAGACAGTCGCGCAGTGAAAGACAGATATACATATAAATATACGTCAACAAGGTGCATGACTCACGGTTTCGCCCGCTCTGAATCGCGTGACTGCGGCTTGAACATCATGCTCTGCTCAAGCGCCACGCGACCGCCAGACTCGGCGCTCTGGCGTGCTGTCCCCAATGCCGTGTGATGCTGCCCAAGGCCTAGTCCCATCGAAACACCTGATGGTAGATAGCACCAATCGTCGCCGCATCCAAAACCGTTTCGGCAAAAAAGTGCAACACAGGGTTTGTTTTCTTTCCTTGCCTTTGACACCAGCAAATTCCCAACCTACGCGGGCATCGATCTTGCACTTAAAACCGTTTCCGCAAAAAAGTGCAACACAGGGTTTGTTTTCTTTCCTTGCCTTTGACACCAGCAAATTCCCAACCTACGCGGGCATCGATCTTGCACTTAACGCCACAGCGGTGCATATTTTTAACTTGGAGTTGGACTGTGAGGTACCCGACAGAGCTAGCCGGCAAGTGGCAACACGTCAACCATCCGATTGGTGAGTCTCTTCGGGGGCGCTGCAGTCGACACACTGCCAGCATCACCGCCAGTCCTCCATTCTTGAGCTGTGTGAGTTGTCACGCCCTCGCCTACTGTCAGACCAGAGCCTCGTTTGAAACGGCGCGGCCACGAACGATGTACTGCTGTACAGTGGTGATCGGTAGACAACACCGAGTTGCTGGCTAACCTGACGGGTCGTCGTCTGCGGGAATAGCAGCCCCCATCTGGGGAGAATCCAACGGCAATCCAGGGTCCCCCTTCAAGCCAGGCTGTCCCGCGCGCTGCTGCTGCGCCTGGGCTTGCTGTTGCTGCGCCGCCGCCGCCGCCGCGTGTTGTTGCTGCGGCTGCATCTGCATCTGCTGCTGCTGCTGAGCCTAAGAAGGCGGAGGGGAGCATTGACAACGTCAGCCGTACAGCACACACGCGCGTGATTTACACAACTATCACATCGGCGTGAGCAATGCCTGGACCTTTGCGTAAAGCCAATCGGTATTGGGCGACGCTGATGACACACAATCTTAAATCTACGACACTACGGTTGCATTCAGAAAAGGATGCCAAGGCATCCGACCGAGCTCAACGACAATACCCTACAAGCGACAGCCTCTACCACCCACCGAAAAAAACGGCTGTGCCCCCTGCTGTTGTTGTTGCTGCTGCTGCTGCATCTGGGCTTGCTGCTGCTGCTGTTGTTGTTGCTTCTGCTGGCCCCCAGCCTGAGCTACCTGCTGCTGCTGCTGCTGTTGCGGTAACGCTGCCTGCTGGTGATTGTTCGGGTAAGGAGACTGCCCCGCTCCCGCTACCCCCTGGAACGCTGCTGGCGATGCGTGCTGTGGTTGCGGCGGTCCTTGCCTTGACGGCGTGTGGACGTTGGTGCCGGCGTTGTTGTTGAGGGCCGCGCTCGCCGATGGGGGTGTCCTCGCTACTGGTACTCCCTGCACACGTACAAGCAACGAGAACGCAGGCAAAAGTTCGGACACAGCCTGAAACGGGGTCGCAGCCTGGAGGCAGCATCGAGAGCGTGTAACACCACTGCGTGGGCTAGGACACCGATCGACCATGCGTATGACAGTACGGGCGTGACATGTCCGATACCTGCATCAAGTCCAAGTCCATTTCGAGATTGGCATGAACACCCGTTGGATGCTGCATACACGGAGAACATGAAAGAGTGGAATTTCCTTGACACGGCCCACCCCAGTTCTGTACGTCACGAGCTCAAGCAGGACCACAGCAACAGCCGTGCTTGGCCAGGTTATAAGCTCTACTCTACCCTACTCTAATAAGTAACACAAGCAGCAACATGCGACGTGTTGCTGGACCGCCCTGGCCGCGAAGCTAATATCGTAGGTGACGAAATATATCATACCCCCTGGACCGATGTTCAAAGCTTGATTACTCCATAGTACAATAGAGGGCAATGCCGAACAGTCTCGTCGAGAGCATACCGAGAACGTATCGCTTCATGTGACATCCTCTTCGTGCTCGTCTTCGTCGTGGAGTAATCCATCATAAAAAATCGGTCCAGATGGTGTGATATGATATATCTATGCATACGTCGTGCCACCTACGGACGGTGCACACCTCAAACACGGCACTGGCCCACCTGCTGTCGCTGGGGAGTGTGCATGGCATCCGCTGCTGATGTCATGCGTCCCATCTTGATGGGAGTCGTGGTCGCGCTCTGTTCGGACCATTACCATTCAACCATTCAGAGCAGTCGCCGATACGTATCGCATGTAGGGGTAGGGTAGCGAGCGTCGAAGACGGGGTTCACGGAGGGGGGGGGTTCGAGAAACGACCAATATTGGCCGGATGGACAGAAAACACGAAATTGCTCGCGGGTACGGGTTCAACTTGAATGGATCGTGAGACCCGACTGGCGCCAACCGTTCACGCTCGACACGGATGCCAGCAACCTAGCAACAGGGTCAGTTCCCACGCAGGATGTGGAGAACAGAGAGGCACCAGGGGGCTATGCCAGCAAGAGACTGCTGTTGCCGGCTGAAGAGAAACTGTAACTGTCGTCCAAGGACAGACAGGGAGATCTCGGAGTGCTGTACGCGGTTGAGCATTTCAACATCTGTCGGGGACGACGGCAATTCACACTCATCACGGACTGCGCGGCGACACAGCAGTCTCTTGCCGGCCTAGCCCCCTGGTGCCTCTCTGTTCTCCACCTCCTGACACACTCAAGCTGCCGACTTGCACCTCCAACGAGAGGGATGGGGACACGAACACGCTTGAGAGCCAATGAAGGAAAATAGAAAAAAGAACTGTCTTCCTGGCGTTCTCTTGATCTTCTCTTAACCACGTGCGTGCGTGCGTGCGTGTATGCATGCGTACCAGAAACCACTAATATCGCAGCACGGACCAGAAGGAAATTACTGCCAGGAACAAAAGCTTTCGATGGGGCTGCGAACTGCCTCAACAGTAGCCTTCCGCCTGCACACACTGTAACAGCGCCAACACTCTACTTTTTGGAATTGACAAAAAAAAAAAATCACCCGTAATGTACCTGCATCGTCTGTCCCGGTGTCTGAGGCCCTGGTGTGCCCATCCTTGCTGCCGCGGCCATCGTCGACTGCTGCTGTCCCGCGGGCGAAGGCCCACCTTGTTGTTGTTGCTGCTGCTGGGTGGGTGCCTGCGGCGAGTCTCCCAAACCCGGGGCCTTGGCGACCTTTGCTGTTGGCACCGCGGCTGACACGACCGGGCGTCCGATGATTGGCATGCCCGATGCCGTGGTCGTGGCACGTTGCCGGCCCCCCGCGGCCGGCGCCGAAGTCTTGGCATCCTTGGCGTTCTTGACGACCGGCCGGCCAATCAACGGGATGCCCGCCGCGGCCGCTGCTGCTGCCGCCGCCTTGCCCTGCGCATTGACAGACAGAGCATTGACAGAGTGGTCGGCGTTGCTTTTACGCGGCGTGGGGTGTGTGTGTGTGTGACCCGGGGTGGCCCTTACTGGAAGGCTAGGGCGGAGGGTACGGCGATGTTCGTACACGAAAAAGGTACATCGACTTCTAAGTCGTGAGACTGAGAGTTGGAGGAAGGTAAACACTTGGCCGAGCTCCTGCCCTCCTCGACGCGGTTCACACACCCGCATGGCACCAACAACCGCCAACAAACCCCGGCACCCCCAACGTCCACAGCCGGAAGAACGTCCAGCTCCTGCCCTCCTCGACGCGGTTCACCCACCCGCATGGCACCAACAACCGCCAACAAACCCCGTTACCCCCAACGTCCACAGTCGGAAGAACGTCCAGCAGGTAGCACTATACAGCAGCAAAGAAACTACCGGCTGCACAACCTACCGCCGATTGACTGCGTGCAGCGCAAATCGCAACGCGCTTCATGGATGGTGTTTCCGGACTTTTTTACCTTCTTTCCCCTGAGTTTGACCGTCGGTGCTGGCGGCTCATCTGCGTCGCTGTCCTCGTCTTCTTCGTCTCCCTCGGCGTACACCTGACCAAACCACCCACCACCCACCAAGCCACGAAACAACGCGAACGCGATAACGACAAACGATCAAGTAAGACACAGCCGTCGTCTACTACTGCTCTACCACGGTGTTCTGTTCGGGAACATAGGGACTAGACCATTCGTCGTATTCGCGTGTGTATCCGAATGACCCATATATTTTCGAGCGTGGTATGCATGTGCATACCACTTAATAGCGCACAAAGCCAAAGCACACCGCACTTGTAGTATTTCACACCCACGAAGCATACATACATAGCACAAAGATGGCCAAAACAGACACGCTGCGTGACTCCGGCTGATGCTTCAACGATACAGATACCGAAAGGTGTCAACATGAGCACTGACGCCTACATCGAAAGATACACCGGGCGGTATTTTAACATCTTGAAACCGAAAGATGCGCCCAAAACTAACGAACCGTATTGAAAGGTGACAATCACTATGGTTACAGCCCGCAGTGCCATGGGCGGTGCACAGACCAACCAACCCGGTCAATAGAGAAAAACCAGGCTACACACACGACGAAGTCAGCCCTGATGCTGCCGCGCATAACGCTCATCAACGAACTAGTCACCGCCAGCGCATGCCATACGGCGGGCAAACTCACGTCAAGCTTTTTGCTGCCCTTCACCACCGGCGGCGCCCCCGGCGCGGCGAGCTCGTCCAGCTCTAGGGCCTCGTAAAGGTCGTAAGAGTCCTCGGCCTCGAACTTCTCGATGAGGTGGATGTCGTCTCCCGCCTGGCTGATGTACCAGTCAAGGTCCTCGATGATGCTGTCCACCTGAAATCACATCACATCACGGAACACAAAAGACAAGTGTATTGGCCACAACCGCGGGTGCAATAGTTACGGGAATTAGAGCTTCCGTCCGGTGTGCTCCTCCAGCTGCCGTGCTCCATGTCTTGATATATTCGACATCGCCGCTCCTGGTGGTCTTCTTGGCCAGCTAGTGGTTGCATGCGTCAACACGAATGTTGGTGGTTTGGCTCGCGGGCGAACACGACACTGCTGTAAGACAAGACGGCCGTGGTGGGCCTCTCAACCGTGCACCGCACCCTGCGCATTTTCGGGATGTCGTCCATGAAGTCTAGTCCCGCAAGCCCTTGAGGGACAAGTCACACCACAAAACTCTCATGGTACCCCACACTTGGCACACTCGCTAAGGAGAGAAGCTGCCGTACACTCTTACTTCCGGAACCAGCGTCCACAGGGCACTTATGCTGCCGGAGCAAAGGCCCACGCCGTATTGTACCAGTGGCCCATGCGCCAGCATCTACTTCCAAAAGTAGCAATTGCGTGCTATTGGTTGGAGCCTGTAGCAATCGAACATCCGCCAAGCAACCTCAGCGAAGCAGCCACCTAACCTGGTCTGGCGCTAGGTCGTTGTTGTCCAAAAGTCTCAGCATTTGCTCCAGCCGCCCGATGTGGTAGTTGTGCTGCTTTCTAGCGTTGTCGAGAGCGTTGATTCTCTCGTCATCTTTGGCCTTCTTCTTCTTGCCCAATGCAGCCATCTGACAAGGTGAATACAGCCATACCCACCGACGCATACAAAAGCGAGTGTACGTTGAGGTCTGAGAGGCAAACACCACCGTCACCACCCCACCGACGTAGCAATGCAGCCACGCAAGAGCACTGCTGTGGGCTACGCACTACACACACACATACACGACGACGAAACCCTCGGTGTCTGCTGCAGCAGCTGCGGGGCTTGGTGATGTCGACTATACTAGGAAATCATGAGGAGCCGAGCCTCGGTGCCAAAGCCCTCATGCATTTAAACATCAACAATTCGTTTCGATGTCTTAGGAGTGATACATATTACACACGGCTGAGGGTTGAGCGTGAACCAAGCGTTGGTGTAAGACCGCTCCTAACGGCTTTAAATCTATCCAACGAATGCAACAGCACAGGTGGAGCATGCCAAACGAACAAGAGAAAACACAACTAACAGACACCACCTCGGGCGCATACCGGCGGGCCGACGTCTCGATCCCATCTAATTAGAACCCACAGGCGACCACGGTGCTATGTATGACGCTACATACGGTTCCCTTCGAAAATACCCGTACAAAAAGACGAACGCATGACTCACCGCCTTCTCCACGTCTGCTTCGAAGCCCTCTAGCTGCGTGTTGAGCATCTGTATCTTTTCCGTCAGCCAATCGCGCTTTTCCATCTTCTCCTTTTCCTCTGGATCCATCTGATGTATAGTAGCCGTGATTGTGGTTGTTGAATTAAGCGTCGTTTGGTGTGAACCATGAACCACGATACGAACCGCAACAAGGACCACACCACACCCTTCAGCGTCAACGTTCAATCAAAACCAACAGCAGTGCCCTGCTGTCTGTAAAAAAATACGGTGCTTGAAGTTCTACCGCCTGAACTGCGACTCCTGAGAATGGACGCAACAGCCAGCAGTTGAGAGACCAACCTCATTATTTCAATGACATTGGCGGGGCATCAACAACGCCGGTTGATAAGCGCCGGTGGCTGCGCATATTTGTAGCGCCGGTGAATTTGCTGGGCACGGACTAAATCACCAAGTCATTCTATACATTGAATAGCGCTGGTAACTCTGAATAGCGCCGGTCGATACGCCGGGCACACACCGGCGTTATTGAGGGCCTTCCACTGTACCTAATACCATCAAACATCAAACTACAACATGGAACGAGAGAGCCAAGATTTACATGTCTTGCGTGTGCCATCCATCAAACAGACAGAAGTCACGCTGGCTTGCTCACCTCTGCCTCTCTCGCTAAGCCCTCCTTGCTGAACTTCTTGGTCTTGGTCTCCTTCTCGCAAACCTTGAACTGCTCCATCTTAGATTCTATCCGGCGTCTCACCTCCAGCAGGATGGTCTTGTCTTTGATGTCGTTGCTCTGCAGCCAGCCCTTGATGGAATCTCGGTGCCGCTATAAAGTATTGGGACAGCAGCAGTGGGATGGAGCAGAGCATGTTGACATTTTCGAACGATCAGTGGTGGGCGATCGGAGAGCGGGGGCGACGAGAGGGTTGCATCAAGAAAACCACCGGAACTTTTGTGTCTCTGACTGTAAGCCAAGCTGCAACGAGACGCTTCGGTGCACTACCCCGCTCCACCGAGCAGTTGCGGAGCTACCGTGGCCGAAACGGCACCCAGAAAAGCCATCTTCAACTCCCTCTTTCTCGCCTAGCTTCAGATCTCCCCACTCCCATTCTCTCTCTTTCCTGCCATGCTCACCTGGAGCTTCTTGATCTCTTTCTTGAGGTCTCCCTCATACTTCTCCTTCTGGTTTTGCTGTGTAGCCGAGTACACCTTATCCCAGATCTCGTCAAAGAGGGCCACGCCCTCGTCAACCTTCTTCAAGGTTCGGTCGATTTCCGCTGAGTGGATGGGAAGGCAAGCGAAAAGACGACGCCGCAGAGAGAGAGCGAGGCAACCAGAGACAAAAAGAAAAAAAAAAGACGTAGATGAGTGACAGCCCAAACTTGCCTTCGTGTATTGCAAGGCCAGGTGATCGTTTGTCTACATTATTGATGGGGCTACTGTCGTCTCTGGTTGATAACAACATGTGTTCCCAACACAAAGAGTGAGAGCGAGAGGCGTCTGGAAGAGGCGGGCAAGGCCGGGGGGGCCGATGCCGAACAAGTTGCTGTTGGAGAGAAGAAAAACCCAGGGCAAAACGAAACGCAAAAACATGACAACTAGTCTGTGGTTATCTTCTTGATGAGGATCATCGAGCAGTGCACCATGTGCCAGTGTAAAGATATGACCATGACTGGCTTGTTCATACGATAGCTGGAAGAGTTGTCTTTGAACATGCCGCTTTTTGTATACCGAAAAGATGTACCACAGGAAACACCCCACCATCCCCGCCACTCACTCTGTAGCTTCCGATTGACCCCCATCTTCGCCATCCCACAGTGGCTCCCACCAACGCTTCTCTTCCCCTACGACAACGTATAGCTGCCGGTATCATGCGGGGCTTGGTCACCACGCTGCGCCTTTTGTTTTGTTGTCCTCCCCCTCCCGACGATCTCTCTTTTCCTTTTCGGCCCCAAGAGCCGAGTTGAGCGAGCAAGTCACGCGAGTCAGTTTTGGCAAATACTGCTGTAGATCCTCGCCAAAGAGTGGCCGCCTCGTCGGGCGACAACTGGTCTCGGGGATTCTTATTTTCGCACTTGCTCTTCCCCGTGTGGTGTCTCTACCTCCCCTTCCGCTCTGGGATGCGGATCTCTGTCACAGGTGCTACACACAGCACGTGCTACCCCAGCAGGCAGGTGACTTGTGCCGCTCGGCTTGTTGTGGGGTGTCTCCGTTCTCGTGTGTATTTTTATCTGCAGGGCCCCTCCGTCCCCTATCCCCTGCCGCGCTTGTATGTCTCTACCCCCCTCGCCGGCCCCACACCAATACGACCATCTATCTGCCGCCACAACAGCCCGAGATAGCCATTGGACCTGCCAAGGTGAGCCCTGCGGTAGAGGATACCGGGGATTAGCGGAACAGTGCCCTTGTTGTTGTCAACCCTAAGCTGGACCGCTGTCATTTTGGAAAGTTGGTAGGTATTTTTGAGTGACGTTGTACGCTCCAGATGCACCGAAGGTCTCAAACTCAACCCGTGTGTGCGCACGAAGCTACTTCTGGGCTTGGGAGGCGAGGAGTTACAGCGACGGTTGGGTGGGAGCTTGCAGCATTGTGGGGGAGGAGAGGAGACGGCTTCACCTGGCGTGCCGTCGAGGGGGTTCGTTGTCGGGGGCCACCGTGCCCTGGTGTGCCCTCTTTGCATGAACGAAGTGTTGTGATTCATTCGATCCTGTTTTTTTTAGGTTGGATGCGGCGAACCACGTCGCAGAAAATGAGGGAAAAGGTCGACACAACATGATGCGATGGCGCACATATCCCCTCCGGAAAAAGGGTGCCCCGGGTTACATCGAGGCCTGCACAGGGGTTTTCTTGACGGTCTAGGCGGGCATTGAAACGTCGATGCTGGCCTTGTCCCTTGAAGAGATGGGTATCTGGGGGTCCTCCTTGACCTGGGGCTGATCGATCGGTGTGTGCCCCTCTCTATTAAGAGCATGTGGCCTGGTGCTTTTGTGTGTGGCATCCTCTCAGCAGAACTGCTGTCGTATGCATACGGAACGGGGAAAGGGGTTCCCCCTCGCTGTTATTGGGCTTCCGCTTGCGTTGTTCCCCAGGACACAGCAAGTTTTTTGTTGTTTGGGAAGTGGTGTTATGTTGCTAAACTCCGAACAGCGTGATACGGGGTCGATGGCAGTTGGCTATCTCTATCGCTGTTGATGTGTCTCCCAATACCAATCTGACATGCGAAAGCTGGTGCGTTTGCATTATCAAAGCCAAGCTGTGTTACCCCAGCCGCTGTATATCCACGGTTGTCATGAACCACTGGCGATGCCAGTCTTGTCGATCAACTGTGCACCTACGAAGCCTCCGGCATGCTCCGACAAACAGAATTGCCAACCTGCTCTGATTCGTACTTGTATTTATCTGTAGGTGGTGTCCTCAGCAGTAGCATCAAGTGCGAAACTTCAACACATGCCCGCTATGTAGTGTTGTGCAGGATGTGTACTTCCATCTCCTTCCCGCCATCACCTTCTACGCCCCTGACCCACACAAGTGTATGTAGCATTGGATGTCCCCCCCGTCCTATTTTTTGGCGAGCAGAGGGGGTTGAGGATAGGCGTTACTGCGGTCAGGGCAATATTTAGCCGTTGTCATGATGCACAAGGGGAAAGCGTTAAAAAGCCAAGTACTGCTGTACGCACAGCCTGACTCGGTCACGCTCCCGGTGTACTACTTCCATCTTATCTCTCGAAAGGGGTTATAGACTACTGCTCCCGCCGAAAACGTCCGCAAGTCCGCAACCCAAGCGCAGCTTATGTGTATTATGTGGTGCTGTGTCGTTTTCTAACCCCTAACCCTTTTTGTCTGGGCCGCTGTCCTTCTCCCCCCCCCCTTCCTCGTGGTCTCTGGTTGCAGCCGCTGTTTCATCTCTCTCGAATACCCACACAGCACGATGGTTCGCACAGCGTTTGTCTCGGTGGTTGCCCTCTCCGCGTCGGCGAATGCTTTCCTCGCACCTGTGCCTGGATACTCGCTCGCACGGACCTCGCGTGCGTCTGGTGAGTCTAGTTGATAAGAGTGTAGCAAAGACCTCATTCTCGCATGCGTGCTATTTTCTGCTGGTACTGCCGTTGTGACTTACAATAGTCAAAGAGTACTTAATCGGTGATCCGGCCGTTGCTGCTCTCTGTGCGTTGCTGTTGCATGTGAGAGCGTTGTACTGTCTTGTTCGTTGAGGGGTTAGGTTTTGTTTTGATGTGGGCTGTTGCTGGCGCTCCAACAATTGCTGCTGCATACAACATAGTACTCTTATCGCGCTAAGCATTCCATGCTGAAACGGTACAGGGCGTGTTTAAACAGAAAGGCCGGACTAAAGTACGCCGCTGAGCACGCGGTACTGCTCCAAGCTTCCTTCTTTTTCTTTTTTGCAGGACGAGTACAGCTGCTCTCCAGCTTTCCCAGGGCATTCTACGATAGAGAGTAGCCGAGAGAACCGGTGTCATTGCTCACCCGCTCTGGTTGCTTGTGATCGTGTTGGATGTGTGGTGTATCTACAAGCCGTCTCGAGGCATGCCGGCAACCATACGACGGCTGTCTGTGTCTGTGTGAAGCACTGCTGCTGCTGCTGCTGCTGCTGTTGTTGTTGTGGTTTGTACTCGATGATGAACATGTCCCCGTGGTCAAACCCCACCTCTGTTAGCATTAGCCTTAACGAAACCATTGTCCAGTGCATGATCATCTAACAGCAGGCGATGCTCTCACTTGGCGTGATATGTAGCATGCATGCGCCTGCCAGCAAGGCAAGAGGAGCGATTGCTTCATTGATGGGTGCGCGTCCATGCAACGCACGCAAACTCAGGGGATGAACGTGGATGAAAAGCGGTAGCTGCGTTTTCAGGAGGAATTAGCACTCTCTGTGCCGCGGTTTCTTGTCCAAAACAAGTTTTTCTACGAAAGCTCGGCGACACGACGTGTAGCAACGTTTCGAAGTACACACGGCAGCCACGCGTGAGTGATTTATTTTCCATTGATCCGACACATGCACCCTATACAACACCGAATGGATCTGCAAATCCCTTCCAGTCCCCCCACTTACCGCAATCCCACCAATCTGCTGCTACACCGCCACCTTGTCAACCAAACCACGCGACGCGACAGCCCCGATTCAGATGGTGACGAGCGCGACTCCGGCAGTTAGCACAGGCGAGGGCAAGATGGTTTCGAACGAGGAGACGTACACCGCAGCCTTGAAGAAGATGGAGGCCGAGAGCCTTGCAGAGCTCGAGAAGGCGTTCGAGGAAACCGCGAAGAAGGCGAAGGCAGAGTCTGACAAGATCTGGGGGGACCTCGAGGCGGAATTCGCCCAGGATGTGGACGAGGCGTGAAAAGAGCAAGCTCAACCGATTATATGTCCGAAATCTATCTATAACCGAACCAGGTTTTAAAACAAAAAAACTGGAGCTGGAAGATGACGGGTGTTGGAGTGCTGCGCTGGCCGGTTCGATCGAAAAGTTGTGTCGAGGCCGACGTAAGACAGGATTGGTGGAAGCAGTTCTCGGCCCGTTTTACCTACCCAGCTTGGGCCTGTCGTTGTTCTTGCTCTCCTCTCTAGTGCATGTTTGTTTCGTTCGATTCGTGTGCTCTCTCGGACCAATTTTTTGTGTTGTGCACGACATGTATCGTGCGAAATAGACTATTCCAGAGTGGTGCTTAGAAGGTTGGGAGGGCAGGGAGGCTAGGGAGAGAAGAATGCCGGTCGTGTCTTGGCATACATGGTTCGTTTGTCGATGATCGTCTATTGTGGCGAGGACATCGATACGACTGTCTCTTGCCCCCGCTCCCCCCCCCCCTCTCCCACCTTCCGCCTTTTTTGAAATCCTAGGGTTTGGTATCTCAAGGTCTATTGAAATTCCTATTTTGTTCCTGGCTTCTTAGAGGGTTGGTTGTCTTGAGGTTTAATAAAGTCAACTTACCGTGCGGCCGCCACGGGTATTTGATTGAAACGACGGAGGGAGCAAGCCAAGAGAGATTAAACGAAAGGATTGTACAAAGAGCGAGAAATTTTCTCGTCACTGCTGCTCTCTTTTCTGCACGTTGTCGAGTATTGGACGCGAATGGTTGGTGGGGTTTCTCACTCATTTTCTCGAGCGTTACATACGGCGAAAATGTGATGAAAAAAGTCCCCTCTGAACACGTGGGTGGTTTTTTGCTTCGGACTTTTTTTTTTTGGAACGGCTTGGCGTCGCGATAAACCTGCTCGCGTCCGGCGGGCAGAGGTACAGCAGGTAGTGCGGCACGTCATGAGGGATCTGTTGGGGAGTTACGTATTTCATCAGCGGCATGCACTAAAATATAGAGTTTTTTTGCGTTCTTCACTTAACATGGAAGAATACGGTTTCAACAGGCTTTGCTTTACAGCAGTGACGAGTTCGGCTTCCGAATGACGGCCATCGGCATGACCGGAATATCGCTACTGACTGTTGCAATGGACACGATGAGAGGTCAGCGTTGGTCCGAAGCCTTGAATCGTAAATAGCCGACGGAGACCGAGGCAGCCTTTCCCGAATCGTCGGAACCAAATTTGCCCGTGCCCGAAAGAGCAAGCAAGCCGCACTGGGAAGTAGCACCTCAGCACGATCTGCAAATGTCGTAGAGTAGAGTAGATGGACGACGAATCCTCGCCCATGTGTCCCGAGTACAAGGGTGAACAGCGCCCAGCCATGGAGCTGTTCAACAACATCAGATGAAGTTGGCCGAGCTACCGTACCGACCATCCGCGACGAAGTCGAACGAACACAATGGATGCAACAACCACGACACACCACTGCTGTCAGTCGTGTTTAGGCCCGAAACTGTGATGATGCCCACTACTATCGTTCCTCGGAGTAAACATTTCTACATGCAGTTCGATGTGAAAACTGCATGTAAAATGCTTTCACCTACCGAAACTTTGAAATCTCAGCGACCAGGTTATAGGTGTCGGGGGTGAAGACGAACGATAATCGAACAACATGCGCTCGCAGTTCACATACAGCGTTGAACTGAACTGCTGTGCAAGGCGTGCATCCTGCGCTGTTTTTGGATACTTGTACCGTCGGGAGCTCCCTCAGGTCGAGGTCGCGTGTGGCTCCTCTTGTAAAACCAACCCATCGGGACCGGACCAATGTTGGGACTGGCTGTCGTGTCGCACAGAGTCGACAAAAAATTGCTGTGAGCAAGACCACGAATCCTAAATTTTCTTCTCACATGGCGATCATATGGTGGTATCACAGCATGTTTACTGCGTCAAATACATGCACATGAACAAGGTGTTAACCCGCTTCCTCAGTACAAACCCATGGAACGCACACAACAGCTCAGGAAACTGAGGATTGAGCAGCCACAGCTCGCGAACCCGCCCTCCCCCCGTGGACACACATCCATCAATGCTACAACTCCTGTTACAATCAATCTCAGATCCCCGCGCACCTCTTCCCACCTACAATACACCGCAGGAGAACTCCACACACTGGGCAAACTTTTCAATCAAGACACGTTGGCGGCATATTGACAAACATCTAGGCTTCGGTAGGATCACATTGGACTATTTTCTCTTCATCGTACACGGTACCCGGCAATATTCTGCGGCCGCTGCTTGTCGGTCCCGAATATCTCCTGCGGGATGTCGATCCCTTCTCGCTTCAAGATGTGCTCCGAACCCCTTACGCACTGCATGAGCCAGGTCACCGCGACCTCTCTTCGTTCATCCTCAGGGAGATCGCCGTGCTTGAGCGCCCTGTTGGGCATGCAAAAAAAAAAACGGCGGCGATGGGCGCGAAAAAAAGGGGGTACAATACGGTGTCGGTAGTGATTGGCGCGAAGAAAAGGGTACAACAGCAGTATACCACGATCGATGCGGTCCATTTCGTTTCGAGATGTGCTTAGGTGCACGATCGTCGGCAAGCGCCCCGTTACCTGCGTTGGCCTTTGAAGCTCGTTCGTTTCACGCGACCATATTACAGTAGCCGCAAGGGTCTGTGGCGCACCTCGCATGGATAGACCAGCGATAGAAGACACAGGAGGCAAACCAACAAGGGACAAGCACATCTCCCGGGACACATGCCCCTGCATACCGTTTCGTTCTTCTCGGTCTGCGAAGCGTTGCCAGGGGGCACGCAAGCTGTACCCTGGCCCTGCATGGCGTAAGATAAGAGGGCACCCGCCCGTCTGTTTTGCACAAACTGCCAGTAAAAGCACTACACGAACACCTGCGAAACTGAGTGCAATTTGCATGCAGCTGTGTGCGTGCAGCAGATTGAGTGCACCAAACGGGATGGATGCAAGGTACAGCAAGCAGTGTAATCCTCGTGGCGTACCTGACTGCGCTAAGATGTGCCAGGATGATGGAGCACGCGACCGACATGTTGAACGATCTCACGAACCCTCGCATCGGAATCACGAACGTAGCGTCCGCCATATCCCGCATGGAGTCCGATATGCCTCGCTCCTCGTTCCCCAGCACTACCGCGGTGGGCACGGACCAGTCTATCTCGCTGATGGGTACAGCTGACGGGGAGAGGTCGCTCGCCACCACCTTGAAGTTCGCCCAATGTGCAAGCGGGACTCATAATAAGAAAAACAGTCTTCCAAGTATTTGCCATCTTATCAAAAAACATGGCCCGTGTCGAATCGCAGCGGTCAAGTGTAGCAGGGTAAGCGAAATTTCGTGAGCCAGCACATGCTTATCGTACTACGGCAGCCGATGAAGGCAAGTTCTAGATTGCGGGCGCGCAACACTGTGATTTCATGGGGTGTGCCGAAAAGTGGGCCTAAAAGTGGGGGCCGTCGTACCCCCCTAGATGGACTTCCAAAGCTCGATTGCCCCAGAACAAAGAGGGTGCGACGACCGACAAATACGTGCAAGGAGATCTTGACAAGAGACCCACCCGAAACCACCCCTTTTCGGCATTCGCACACCTCTTGCTGGTGGAACTATCGCTCTATCAAAGTCGATCTATGTAGGGCGTGTGCAACGATCCGCATTTTCAAGGTGGTACGACTATGCCCTCGAAGCTAGTGATGGGTGGGTCGACAAGAGCGCTCAAGCGAGCCCATTAAGAGGAACCAAAAAGTAACGACGACTGGTGCGCGTAGGTCACCTGATATCCATCTGTCTTGAGTTTGGCTACAGCATCTTCAGGTCTGTCGTGTCCATGGAGCGTCAGCCACTTCTGGCTGCCCATGGCCGTGCACATGGTCTTCAGCCGTGCCTGCTTGGAGTACGTAGAGGGATCCGACACGATGTGTGCGTGCTGGATTCCGAACGAGTCCAGAGTCCTCAGGCACGCCCACACCTGCACGACGCCCCATCACAAGCGATTTCAGCACGAGGATCACACCAAAGAACGCGAGACGCATAAAAAGCCTACAACAGCAGTCATGCATTCGGGGCGGTGACAACATGGTTGGTGCCGTATATACAGACATGCGGACACATAGGCAACCATCTACGGAGCGCTTGCGCTGTCGAGAAGTTGTTTTGACGCTTGGCACCCCTTCAAGGTTCCAACTGACACCTAAACATCTCAAGCGCAGAACTAACGGCTACGATGATTAATGGTAGCTGCGTGCGGCAATGTACCGCTGTGTACCACCGTGGTAGACGTAAGACGGCCTTGGGAAGCGCACACGAGACAACTCAACTGACTGCCGCGAGTTATCAAAAATATTGGATAAGCCCCCCCCCTGCCCGCGGTGGTTACACAAATCTGTTGCGCACACTCTACCAAAATGGGAGCTCAAGCAAACCCGCAACAGGCCGGACACGCATATGTACACGAGCATAGCAAACAAAATGGACCAACGTCTTTTGCCTCGCTCACGTTGTTTGGGTTGGCAGGGTTCTCGAACACGAGTGTCGCACTCCTCGTGCGCTGATCGAGCACGTCTTCCATCCTAGACAACCTGTCCTCCGAAAGATAGCCCTTCAGAAGGTCCACTGCCCTCTCGAGATCGGAGGCCGTTTGGTCGACTAAGGCCCTCGTGCCGATAAATGTCGACACCTTGGCGGGCCCGGCCGCCCGGGCAGCCGCCTCCGCCACGTTCTCGCTGTGTGTCCGCGTCTGCGCGTGCGTGCCGAGGCGAGGTTACAACGTCACAACGCGCAACAGGTTGACTTTGATTTGAGTTGATGTTGATGATGGCGATCAACCGAAGCATCTTCGCGTGATGACAGCGTGATGCGTTGGACTCGGATGGCATCCGACTCGGAAAAGACTTGTCTGTACATCGCCATCTAGAATCGCGTCGGTACATGCTGTTGTGACAGCAGTGCCTGCGTTTGAGCGCGCCCATACCCTGCCCCCAACTCAGGTCCGTAGACGTTGTGCCTGCCTTGTGCCTTCTCATACAAGGCGTCACGCTACACGTGTAGAAAACGCCTGGGTTGCTGTTGGGCTTGCGGCGATCGCGCTCGGTGCGGAGCCAATCTCGACAGCAACAACTCGAGGAGATCAATACCTGCTTTGTGAGGACATGGACGATGTCCCTTACGGCACGTACTGCTGTATCTCACGACACTGCTGTCCACTATGTCGACAGCGAGAGGCTTCGGGACCTGACCTCTGCCGACAGGAGGTGAGTATTGGGAAAATGTATCCCACTGAGAGCTGCGTGGCCCTGCAGTCGATTGCAACACTCGTGCGCGTACTTCATACGTGTAGCTGCGATGGGTCGCGTGTGCAAGAGGTACAGCAGTACAACGGCAGTTGCGTCGCAGAAGCAATGACTTCAACAGCAAGTAGTCCTGCCTGTGCCACATCAAGCGGACAAGCCAATGACCACCTCCTCGATTTTGACTGACGCGTCCCACCTTCCAAGTACCGAACTCCCACGTGTCCCATTCGTCTACATGGCTGTCCTGCTCGACAGCACCCCCGCCGCTAGTCTTTGGGCTCACGACGTCGTTGCTGCTACGGTCGCCCGTAGACCGCGAGCGTCGATAAAGCCGCTGCTGTACAGAACGGCTGCTGCACGGGTACGTCCCGCCCAGCCTGGGGGAGAGATAGCAGCGAACAAGCCCTAGCGTCGAAAGCGCCATCAGCAGACGGTCACCTCTCCATATGAGCATCGCGGTCTAGTCAAAGTATGCCAGCGGCGGTGGCTCCCGCCCTCTGTCCTCTGTCCGCGGTGAGGAACCCAGCAGCCAGCGAGTGGGAGTTGTATCGGTCTGAATAGTGGCGCATGTCTCGCGAGACTGTCAACTAACTGTAACGTCACTGCTTCGTCGGGGCACGTTCCGCATGATGTAGCATGTAGCATACGATGCGCCCAGCACGCAGTACAATTTCGCCCCCGACAGGCCCCTATTTGCTGACGCCTGGCTGTCCCCACGTCGTGCCTTAGCTACCATGGGAACCGGGGAGTCAAAAATGAACGACGATCTCGTGCTGGAGGAAGAAGATGGTGGGTGCTCGCTGTTGGATGCGGTGGGATCTACACACAGCGTCTACATTGTGGTGTTTGTGGAAGTTTTCACGCGTACTTTGGGAAGAGTATCCCTTCCGAAGGGGATCTCCACATGTACAGGAGTCTTTGTTTTCGAGTGCTGAATGACTATCTGTACTTTGTGTGGGCCACGCAACACATGTAATCCCCATAGTAACGTGCAAGTCCATGTGCACGCACAACGTCCACGTACCGCGTCCATTCTCCAATACCCAACAACTGAACCGACCTGTAGAGTCTGGAGTGTGCACAGGGTACAGCTTCATGTATATCTTGTTGGATCGAGCCTGCCTCTGATTGGACTACTCGAACGGCCGAATAAGCGTGCTTGCATCCACCCCCCCCCCCGCTCTTCGTGTACAACACCTCGTGTTCATCGCAACCTGCACTGTTGTCGACTTGGACGAGCAGATGATTCACTGACCGACGCGCTTCGGTCGAATCTGACGAGATTGATCGCCTACGCTAAGAGCGCGGATCCTAGTCTCCAACGACAGGTGGCGGAGAAACTAGCCAATGAAGCAGTTAAACGTGCGTGCGTGTGTGTTCCGATTGGGTTCTCTGCGCAGCAGTGCTTCATTTTACTGGCGTCGATTGTACGTTCTTGCTGCCTATATATCGTGCTTACGTATTATTGCCCTTGTTTGACCTTTGTCGAGATCAGTTGCTACATACGTCGTTTGACAAACTACGATATGTAAGTTCGGACTCGTTGAACACAGGAGAGGACTAACATCACCTTCGGTATTTCGTGCATTTTCTGCTGAACACGTTTTCTCGTGCCCACCACGAAACGGCTCATCACGGCCTGTTAAACACGGTATGTACCGCAGCAAGCCGACAAGCTCAGATCGTCCAGCTAGGTGGCCTGAAGCTTCTCCTGCCCCTGACCCAGTCAAAGGATGTGGAAGTTCAACGATTGGCCGTCCACGCCTTGGCCAACCTCTCTGTCGACGGTGAGCGTCACAGGATTGGACGACCAACAAGCTGCGAAACAGGGATCACCAATTTATGTGTGGTTTCTTTGGTTGGTGTTCGAACTGTCCTCCTCTCTACAGTGTTTCTTATACTCTTCTACAAGTAGAACGGATTGCTCAACCGACAGACCTGCACATGGTAGAATGCGTACTGAGGGATTGAACCTTTTCTTTTCTTCTTGCGCATGCCTGTACTGGTCGTTTCTGGTAAAGCGGCGAATCAGGAAGTCATGGCCGATGAGGGAGGAGTCGATATGTTGGTGGAAATGTTAGCATCCACGCACCCGCATCTGCAGCGGCAAGCCTCGAAAGCATTGGCAAATCTGGGCGTCAACACTAGAAATAAGGAGCGGATCTGCAAGGCGGGAGGCGTAGGTCCGTTGGTGAAGCTCGCCGATTCAAAGAGTCCGGGGGTGGCTGTGGAAGCCGTCGCCGCTCTGGCCAACTTAGCGGTTAACGGTGAGCGTAGCAATCTTCCCACAGAAAACTAGTAGCTATTCGACTGGGTGACCGGTGTCGGCGCGTGCATGCATCAACCCGCGGCCGTTCGTGCTTACGGTCAACGCACACTTATGCACGCAGTGGATGGAGATGCAGTACTGTACAGTAGCTCTCTCTCTCTCTCTCTCTCTCTCTCTCTCTCTCTCTCTCTCCGATTGTCGGCATGTGAATATAGAAGTGAGACCGACACGGACCTGACCCGAAGCAAGCGTCCCCAACCCCCCCCCACCCCAAAACCATCGCCGTAGGAACTTGGTTGTTCTCCTCACCACAAGACACACAAGATTTTTTCCAAACCATGCAGCATGCTTTTCTGATACAACGCACGTGCATACCTGCTGGTGCGTACTCTCCTCTTCGTCCTGTACCCTCCGCAACTCGGGTCAGACGAAAGTGAGCTCCAAATAGTACGAGAAGGAGGACTGGCCCCAATACTTGAAGGGGCCACCTCATCCAACGTTGAACTCCAGTCTCAGTGCGCGCGGGCATTGCGCAACCTCTCCGTCAACCGTGAGCAACTCATACCATGTAGTTTGTGATATGCGTGCATGATGGGAGGTTCTCTGAACTTCGTTTCAGAAATTGCTTTGAATCGGAAAAATACAAAAATACCTCCCAAGCATATTGTTCCACGTGCCAGCACTGATTGGTGGTGTTGCCGTAGATTGTTTTAGCTCGGCAGCATTCTGTCTGGTGGTGAAAAACACTGGGAAATGTTTAGGTGTTCTTCTTGCTTTTAATAGCGAAAGCCGTTCCCACCTGCCACTCCCTCACTCCCTCGCAACGCACTCACTCGCTTTCGGGCCGACGCTTTTCCTTGCCTACCGCACGTTCATCGCTCAGCCTCGAACAAGAGCCGTATCCTGGACATGGGTGGTCAGGAGATCTTGTCGACGTTGAGTCGATCGTCAAACAAAAAGATTAGACAGCAAGCGACCAAAGCGATGGCAAACTTAGACTCAGCCTTGTCGACCAGGAAGTGAGAGTGCGAGCCGAAGAGGTTGGTTGCGATTTGACACATTTTCGGCACAGCCTAGTGCTGAAAGTCACCCCGTTGTTGGTACTATATTGTTGAACCTGCGGAGAAATGTGGATGAATCGGGGGGCGGACGTGGATGTGTGTTTTTTTCAACAAGAGAGGCGCTCCGTTCTGGGTACCCACCAACCGCTGAGCAAACGATTTTAAAGGAGGTGAAGCCGTGGGCGGTAGCTTACTCCTAGAGATAGATGGAGGTTCTGTCGTTGACACACTTGTCCACGACCACGTTGAGATTGGAAAATTGCTTGTTATTGCTGAGAGACGACCAGCAAAGGTCTGAGATGAAGTGGGGGTACAACTTCATCTCAGGGGGTACACAGAATAGACAATTCTAAGAGGGAAGGGATCTGAAGGGTATGCCTCCTGGGACCGACCCACATCCTACCAACAATAAGATGTACCCTATTCATGCTAGCAGCCACACTCCTTAACACTAGCCCACCCTGAATATCATATATGCAGATTCTATACTCAAATCAATGCTCAAATCCTAAAAGCTACCATAAAGATTTAGCTAATGATTTATGATCATGAATCGAAGATATGACTCTTCACAAAACATCCAAAAGGAGGGTGAGTTGTAGAAATATCCCGAATCAACCCCCACACCATCATTGAGACGAAGGATGCAAACGGTCACGAGACAAAACACCGACATCTCAATGACAACACTTTACCAGTGAAAATATATATTGCTGCAGAGCACGCTATCCCCAACAGACGGCGACAGGGGAAACAAAATCAAAGTCCAAACGCCACACACCACTCTTTTACGCGCACCCGCGCGTATCACAACTGGAGGAATGAGGGTGACTACACGAGAGAGTCCAAAAAACGACAACGAAACTCAAAACCCAAGCAAAATTCCAAACGAATATGGCCTTTGATACCGGACGCGACGTAAAGGGAAAACTCAACGCAATCTAGGGCAACGTCGAGGAAGGGCAGGGGGAATGAACTACAGGCAAACGCACCGAGAACGATTTCCAGCGTGCCAAAGTACCCAAACCGTATAGAGAGACGGCAACGGCAAGGCCTAAAGAAAACTAAGGACGCAAAGCATAAACGATCAATGCCGGAGAAGCGATCTGACGAACCGCGCCATGTCTCGCTGGCGATACGCAACATACAAAGACACAAAACACAGAAAAGTTGCAGGGATACACACATCAGTACAACGACTCCGGGGCTCGACGATGATGAAGGTGTCGCCCGCATGTAACAATGATGGAGACGAACTAGAACAAAGTGTGGATGGCGACGAAAGTCCACGAGAGAAAGCGACGCAACGGCATGGGATCCCGAAGCAATAAGCGTAGGCGACTCTTCTGCGGCACGATGGAGCTAAAAACATTAGTTGGCAAAAGGGCGAACCAGGAGAACACGGGGAACTCGGTTTCGAAGTGTTCAGAGGCAAACAACACCGACGAAACTTGGGGAACTCTTTTTCCAAGTGTTCAGAGGCAAACAACACCGAGGAAACTTCGGAGGAAGCCCGTCGAGAGAACCAAAGACCAACAACAATAGAAAATAAGGAAAGGCGAGAGAGAACGTACATCCAGGTCGCGGCAGTTCACTGATTCAGACGAATGCAGGCAACAAGGAAGAAGGATCACTCGACACCGCGAGTCTTGAGGCGGTGTTGCCCCAGCGTCCAAAACACAAAATAAACCAACAAAAGAAAAGGACAAAACAGAAAAAAAAATACAATAACGGAAGGCGCCAACGCCGGCGAGAAGGAGGGCACAAAAAAAGACCAAAATAGGCCAACCCGTACACGAAAACGACGACGCTAAGAAGAAATGTTGGGAACAGCCGACGGTAAGGAGTTCGTAATGAGCGGAGAGCGACCACGGGTGTCGCCCAAAGGGCGCGAACGATGTTTTTCTAAACACCATGATCCACAGACGGCGTGCAAGGCGATGGAGTAGAGGTGTTTAGGCAGAGGGAGAACGCTTGGGCCCGGGTCATCCAGAAATCGGACGATGTACGAACCGTCCTGATGAGCACCAATTCGTCCGGTCCACCACAATCCATCGCGGGCCTTGTACCACAGCCGCGCGCCCACCGGGAGGGGCGAAGTGCTGAAACGACGAAGCCAAGTCGCGTGAAGCACAAGATCAGCCCCAAGAGGCAAATAGCGTTCTGCACGATTCCGAGCTAGCTCCCGCTGTGCCGCGCGGGTCCGAGCCACTCGATATGTACGGTTACCCTGCTTGCTTTGACAGACTTCTCGGGACCAGTATAAGAGGATGTGTCGACGGAATCGATCGAGGTCGGACTCCCGTTCCCATGAAGGAGTAGTCAGGCCTAACCAATGCGTCTGGTACAGGACAGCGAGAACGCCGCTACGGCCCCGCACCAGTTGATGTCCCGAAATGTAGTCGACCCCGAGGCGCCCGACAGGCACCGACGCATCATCCGCGGTGACGTGGAACGGTGGACATTTATCTCCGAAAGAGTGCAAAACATAACGCGAAAGCTCAGCGGGTAGAGAATGTGGCAAGTCGTCCGTCTCATATGGATTGCGACAGGGCTTGCAACGAAGGAGAGACATGCGACATCGAGCTGCTGGGCCGGAAAGATCGGAAGGCAGGTCCAGGTAGAGGAGTTTACGCGCCAACGGGTTGCCGTCCGGGGTGGCGTCGGCAGAAGCGGGACCCACCGCAAGAACTTTGTAGGGCCCCGTCCAGGAAAGTGCGAATTTGTCCTTGAGCACCTGTTGATCCGTGTCCTTCTGCACACCCTGTCGAATCGTAGCAGCCTTGTTGAAGACCCAAGCCCACCCGCCAACGGTAAACTGAGGTAGCTTGTGGATGGCGTCCAGCAGGGATGAATTGCGACGTTCGACTCGCGAAATCTTCAGTGCGTTGTACTCACGGACAAGTTCGTAGGCCCGGCGCTGACGATCGACAGCCAGGTTTCAATACTCGAGTTGATCGCGAGCCAAGCTTTGGTGACCACCTACCGTGGGATGATCGAAGATCGAAAGCGAAAGTCGCGGGATGCGTCCGATGTGGATCTCGTTTGGCGCCAATCCAGTTGACTGGTTCACGGAATTATTGTAGGCAAACTCAACGTGCGGTCGATGTACGTCCCAATCGTTTTGCTGTTCGTTGACGACCACCGCAAGCATCTGGGCCATCGTGTGATTGACGCGTTCCGTGCCGCCGTTGGTCTGCGGGTGGTAGGAGCTGGTGGTGACTTTCTTGATTTTCATCACCTCGTAGATCGCCATGAAGAGCTTCGAGCAGGAATGCAGTCCATTGTCCGACAATGACGTAGTCGGACATCCCCACTTGGTCATGTATTGGTTGACGAAAACGTGAGCCGTCCCTTTCGCCGTAAATTCCGCCGCTGTAACCGCGAACATGTCGGCTCTCCGACTGAAACGGTCTGTGAACAACAAAATGTAGGAGTTGCCCTTGGCAGTCACTGGCAGAGGCCCGAAGAAGTCGACGCCGACCACCGTACCAGGCCCCTACGGCAATGGCATAGCGATGACGGGCCACCGAGCGGTCTGATGCGAAGTCTTGCGAGCTTGACACACCAAACACACTCGAAGCCACCAGCGCACGGAACGATCCAAACCAATCCACCAGTAGAAACGCTCAAGCAGACGTTGTGTACGGTGAACGCCGAGATGGAAGGACGCGGCGGTATGGCATGCATGAAGGACCCACGGACGCATCAGCATTGGCACGTAGACACGGGGCACGCCAGTACCCGGTAAACGAGTGGTCCTGCCGCCAGAGCGCCCAATCGGCGATGGCGCCGATTTATGTACGAGGAGGGTGACGTTGTCGTCGGTCGTGTGCAGTCTGGTTTTCGCCGCCAACGCAAGGACATCGTCTAACCGAGGGGAGCGAAGAGGAGCACGGAGGGTCAGCAAGTCAGGAGGCGGTGGGGAGGGAGAACCGCGAGCCAGGAAACGCAAGCCACCACACATTCGCTCTCCCGCTGTTGTTCCCTAGCCCAATCCACAGTTCTGAAGCTCTGGACACAAGCCCGCAAGTGGGAGGTGTCCAAGGCAGTAGATTCCAAAAGAAAGTCAGGCGATCCAGCGGAAGAGGCTGTAGAAGGAGAAGCTTCAGCGACTGGGGCAGCCGCAGTCCGCGATGATGTCCGTGAAGGGGACATCGGGAGGGGCGAAGTCCCGGGTGAAACCTGCATAGCAGGCGATCCCGGGGATGCAGGGCGCTCCGATGACGGCGAAGGCACCGGTGACGCAGGAACAGCCGACGAAAACGCCGATGCCGGCGTCGCGGATGGCTGCAGTAGACGCGCGACGGTCCTGGTGGTCTTGTTTGACGAGCGGGACCTGTTAGGGCGACGGGCAGGCGACGATGTCCGAGGGACGATGTTAGCCCGCGGCTGGCGTCCGAAATAGGCGGGACCGGTGACGGTGCCTCCGGAAGCAGCGGTAGTCTTGGCCCGAGTCCGTGAAGAAATGAGCGGTCCCCGCTCCGGAAGCGAAGACAAAACGTGCACATATCTAGACGCCAAAGACGCGACAGGAGACATCACGCGGGACGCAGCAGCAGGAGTCAAAGGGGAAACAGGCCCTGAAGACCCGGGAACAGGCGAGATCATGAAGACGCCCGGAGACCGCCGAGAATTCTCGCAGACAATCGTCGAGTCCGTCAGAACATTCAACCTGTTGCCCCCACGACGGTCGCCGCTCCGGCTGCGACCACGCCTAGACGAAGGCGTGTTGCTCCCACGACGGTTGCCGCTCCGGCTCCTGCTCCGGCGGTGGCGGTTCGACGGCGAAGATCTGGTATGCTAGGTCTCCGCTTGCCCCCGCCCCCCATCTCCGGTGCCGCGCCCTCGCGAAGACTGGTCGGAGCGGCGGTGGTTGTCCGTCCCGCTCTCTTGAGACGCCAGTCCACGAGATCACTTTTCATGATGCGGATAAAATGAACGCTCTTTGTGCATGGGCTGGCGTCAAACAACTTGTTCGTGCTCAATTTCCCCACTCTCACACTGTTGCGTTTGGGCACATTTTTTCTGGCCCCTGCATCGAGAAGCTTCCGCCTTCTCCGCGGCAGTTTGTGTTCCAGCTTTTGTTCGCTCTCCGTCGTGCCACGTTTCTGACGGGTCCTCAAGGAACGTCGTCGGTGGTGACCCACGATGGAGAACCCCAGCTGCCTCTTCTTGCTCGTGCTTCCTCTACCAACGACTTCAAGCACGATCTACAGGCCTCTGCACGCCCTGCCCGTGTTTCTGGAGGGGACAAGGACTACAGCCGGTCGGCGGCTCCTGCATCTAAGAACCGGAAGAACCGTTGGGGTGATCAGGATTCCACGGCCAAGAGCGGGGATCCCCATCCTACCAAATTTTTATAACTTTCGGTTGCCATAATATAAAATTTGCCCATCCTAACCCTAACCCTAAAAGTAAGAATCCGTATGGAGAATCCGTCGAGGATTCTATTTGATAGTTTGGCCAAACTATCGTATGGAATCTCCTACGGATTCTCCATACGGATTCTTACTTTTGCTCACATGGATTGACATTTCTCAGCACACACAGATCCCACAGCAGTCACCACAAGCTTCAAATACGCCTACAGGTAGGTGTGGTGCGTACAGCCTTCAAGTTCTGGTGACGATCCGACCATCATGGAGGGAGAACTCTGTGGTGATGTGGTGAGAGGTCTGTCTCATGGTCGAATCCGTGGCAAATCAGGGGGGGGGGGTGTGGCAA